AACAATTTCCAATGATAATTATGAAGTTCTTGAAATGGCTAACCTTGTGAATTACTTTAACTGGACTTGGGTTGGAGTCATAACTACAGATAATGAATTAGGAAGATCAGGCTCTCAACTCCTCATCAAGGAGATAGAACATAATGGAGGATGCATTGCATTCCTAGAAATTCTACCTGTCTACAACTCCATAGAATCAGTGAACCGAATCATTGATGTCATGAAGAAGTCAACAGCCACTGTAGTTGTTATATATTCGACCATGGAAAACCTAATTTCCCTAATGGAGGAAGCTTCATTGCACAATGTTACAGATAAAGTGTGGCTTGGTTGTGGAAGTTGGTCAATAACGTCAGACTTTCCTCACCCAGACATCTTAACAACTTTAAATGGCAGTCTAGGTGTGGCGCCACCGCGTGGAAAAATCCCAGGGTTTAAGGAATTTCTTCAAAGCATAAACCCGACCAAATATCCAGATGATATCTTCATTAAAACATTCTGGAAGAAGGCTTTTGGTTGTGTTTGGCCTCCATCCTATCCTTATAATAATACATTTTCAAACACATCTGAAGATGTTAGACATTGGTGCACAGGGAAAGAGAGATTAGACAGCATTGATCCCAATATATATGACGTTTACAACTTTAGATACACATACAAAACTCATAATGCAGTATTTGCCATTGCTCATGCTCTTCATGAAATGCATTCCTGCATAGAAGGACAGGGACCCTTTGTGAATGGATCCTGTGCTAATATTTTTTCACATAAACCTTGGCAGGTACAGTATAAGTTGTTTAAAATTAATGGTAGAATACAATCTGCTAGTCTTGTTTCTGGTATCATCAGTGGGGTTGATTTACTTAAGGCAAATATGCTGCTCATCTAAGGAATATTTCCCTTAGATTAGGGAATGTGGTGAAAATTCACTTTGCAATGGATACCTAAACACGTGCAAAGACAATGGAAATACAGAATTTTTGCTTGCATGGAGTTCCATGATGATGGAAGTCATTAGAGCTTCACCTCATTCACTGAGAAATTCTCAGTTTTACTTTGCAAGGAAAAGTTCACTTGTCTTAGTGAATGTGGGTTGGCAGTGCTGACTTCAATTATCCAATCATGCCCAAGCAAATCTCCTGCTTTTTTTAAAAATGTCCTTGCATGTGATTGGATATCCTTCGCAAAGTGATTTTTCAACATTTTCACTAAACTAAGTCAGAATTCCCTTTTAAAGTTGAAATCTCATTGCAAAGTGAACATGCTTTACTACTTTAGTAAATCTACCTCATTACGTCAAGCAAGGAGAAAATAAAACTTAAATAAAGTGACATGTTTCTCATATATTTAGCTATGGCCTTGGATGGATTAAAGTAAGCCTTTGGAAAAAAAGCAAGCTAAATATTGAATAGTAGTCACCATAGAGTGCCAGACTGTTTCTGCTTTGTTAGCAAAATCAATCAGTGGCACTTAAGCTCCCTGAAATACCCCAATTTATGTAGTATAAAGAAAGCTGTCTCTTCTTTCACCCAAGCTTTATCGAATTTAGTGCCTGGGTGACCTATCACCAAGCATGTGCAGTGAGAAATTAAACAAAGACTTTCACAAAGTCATAATTTCTGTTGGAACTTCCATGGAGCATGGTGATACTAAAAGAATCTGGAACCTTTGTGGGGCTGCATCAAAGAAACTGAATATGTAAAATAGAGCAATATGAATAAAACAATAAATATAGCCATTATACCTTTTAAAATCTTTGTGAGAGTTTTATATATTTAGGGATAAACTGTTTTTTACTGGTTACTGGCTGACTGACTTGAAAGAATAATTTTACTTCATTTTTTTTCATTCACCCCTCTTTTTGCTTTTCTCATCCCTCCTATTCATCCTACTGCTTCACCTATGGCGGCCTATGGTGGCTCTGTACTCAATTTATTGAGCTTGTGGGGAAGCTGACCTCTACATTGGCCCCATATTGGGAAAAGCCATGCATGCAGATGTTGTGGAAATTTTACTAGGATGTGTTTTTAGTATATTGTAATATTGTCATCATGTCTCTCGGTGTCTGGATTTCTGGGCCATGCTCGATTGGCGCGTGACCCGGATTTAAATAGGCACCGGGGTTTAACCATCGGAGTAGATATCTTATGCGTGGCGGAGCAGTGTTTTCTTAGCGAGTGTGTGGACGCCAAGCTAGGGCCCCTGAGCAAAACATGGATTTATTGGTTTGACGTGTATACAACTTGCTTTGAGGACATAGTATTATTAAAGATACATATCTGCCTTTATGAAAGGAACGTGCGTTCGTATTTCTGATGCGTCTGATCAGCGCGCTGGAGATAGTATGGCATTGTCCCTGCAGATAAGCTTCCATTCATAGGAATCATAGTAACGTTATTGGGCATTGCTCACTGTGCAGTGCTGGATAAGGTTTGCTCCAGTGGTAATGGGAGATTGTGTTTGTGGACCTGGAAAGATGGTGGCTAGGAAAAACATGCGGCTGTGCACACGGGTCTATGGGCTATGCACACCGCTTCTACTATGATACAGACATACACTCCCTTTTCTTTTGTGTACATGTGCTTTGTTGGCTGGCTATGATATGTTGATGTATTGAGGAAGTGATGTTGGTTGTTGACATCACTTCCTAGTTTCCTGTTTAAGACAGCACTTCCTGTTTGAGACATCACTTCCTGTTTGTATCACTTCCTGTCTGACATCACTTCCTGTGTGAGAAAATAAAAGCTGTGTAGTAAGAGACAGAAGCGTGCTAAGAACCGAACCACAGAACGAACAGCATGAAAACATCACCGTGTCCTGACTCTACATGACTCTACAGAGGTACCTCCAGTCCTTGCAGAAAAGAGCTTAATACAACTGTGCTTTTAAGCACGCGGGAAATTCTTTGTGTTTGGCGGCATACTTTGGTGCACTTTAGTGCGACATGGATTTGTGCGTTGAACCAAGCGAATTTCCATAACATAGAGTACACAGTGATCAGCCAGCTTAAAGTCCATTTCCACCTTTGTAAGTGTTTTGCATTTATTGTAGTAATGAAGAGGTGCAGTGATGTATACATGTGCACATTTTCATGACTCACATTTTAGGCTTTCCTGTTTTTTTAATGAACTTCCACTTTAGCCTTAAACAGCTCTCCCCCTCCCTGTTATTCAATACAATGTCTGGGGCACAATGGGGGCTGCCACTCTGAATACTAATGAATGGGAGAGGTGAGAAGGAGCATACAAAACACAGGCAGACATTTTTACATTAGGAGATGAAGTGGAAAGTTAACAAAAAAATGATGTTTGTGTTTATACACAGCAACTGCATATGCCTGCTTTATGTACACTTGGTGTACATTGCTGGCATACGTTTTTTTTTTTTTTAAATACCTCTGCAAGGGTCGAAATTGGCTTTAAGAAAATGATTGCAGAACCACTGGATGAGCGAGGACACCAAGTGACTTCAAAGTTTTTAGAAGTAAAGTTGACCTTTTCTTTTCGTGAGCTACAACTTTAAATAAGCATTATGTTTTAAAGTATTTTGTTTAGGATTTTTTTTAGGTATTCTGTTTAAATAGGGACACATAGCTACATATACAGGGCTATTCACTAAAGGGTGAAGAGTTTGGAGAAGGCAGGAGTAGTGAACAATCTAGGCCAAAATAGCTGATTTGGAAACATTCTTCAATTCAGCTCACTCTCCAGTTCAGCTATGTTGTCCTACATTGTTCACTTCGATACAAGTGAACAAACAGCGCTCTCGGAAGGGGGGCTCGGTGTGAACAGTATGCTGCCCTGAAAAACAGTAGGAGGACCTGTGCTTGCTAAAAAATGGAAAGTTCAAACCAGGGCGCAAAACTTGTGGAGTAGGTGATTTAAAACATGAGTGCTGGTAATTGTACTAAAATCGGAATAAACAATTGTATAACAATTGCACCGGGGAGCGACGCGTTTCGAGGAAGCCTCAAGCTCCAGCGGTGTCTGAAAGAGGCTTCCTCGAAACACGTCGCTCCCTGGTGTCTCACGAGTCCCTTCTCTACCCCTGACTCGTATAGCTCTCAGTTCTTTACTCTCCAACAACAGTCGGCACCGTCTGAGATTTCTCCAGCCCCTGATCCTGGACCACCCGATCCTCCTGTGAGGCTACCCTTCCCACGGCCCTCTCCCATACAAATGTAAGTGAGTGCATTTTATTAACATTTTTATTTATACAATTGTTTATTCCGATTTTAGTACAATTACCAGCACTCATGTTTTAAATCATCTACTCCACTAGTTTTGCACCCTGGTTTGAACTTTCCATTTTTTACATTGTTCACTTCTCCTGCCTTCTCCAAACTCTTCACCCATTAGTGAATAGCTCTGATAGTGTTGTTTTCTCAAATTTAACTACAGAAGTGCACTTCAACTTTCATACCTCATATGCAGTAGAAGATCTTAATAGTAATCTTAATACCTCTAAATTAAGTCCCTTATGGATTTTGCTTCCACACATTTACCTGCTTCAACATGTTAAAATAGCTCTAAAGTCAGGCACCACTTGAAATTTTAATATGCCCCTGTCAGTGTGAAGAGACTAATGGAGGCTTCAGTGGTAAAATGGAAAGAAGGTGGGAGACATGGACCACCAGTGAGCTTGGAGCAGTGGATACTTTAGAACACACACCGGGACCGTGGTGTACAAAAGTAGCCACCCTTCAGAAGGAAGGACAGTGCCAGCATCAATTCCAAGATGATTTAAGGATCTACAGCTCAATAATACACAAATAAGCTCCATTTTTGTTAATAGTTAAGGTACTTGAATGCAGTTTTAAGATTTAACTTCCTGAGTTTAGTGTCACTTTAATGAAAGCTGTAGATTTAGAAAGATAGAACACAACTTGTGAAGCTTGTATGGTATGTTAGCATTTGGGTTTAGATCTATCTTCTTTAAATCTAATGTCTACTTTAACTTACTGTCATAAAAAAATGAATATTCACTTTTATTTCTTACAGCTGCTTCATTATGTTAAAAAAGTAAATTTCAAAAATACTGCAGGCGAACAAATATTCTTTGATAAGAATGGAGATATCCCTATTTCCCTAGATATTCTTAATTGGCAGCTTTATCCCAACGGTAGCAATCAGTATATCCATATTGGCAGATTTGATGGAGGTGCTCCAGAAGGCAGTAAACTGCAAACTGATGAAAGCAAAATTATGTGGAATGGACACAATCATGTAAGCATTCAGGTTTTGTTTTGCATACACATTTTTCTGCATTGCAAGATTTGCATACCCCAAAATTAAGTGCACTTTTTTTACACACTGCAGTGCTTCTACTTCTCTCTGTACTCAGCCATTTACCAACATTATCATGGTTGCAGGAAGTGTATCAGGGGTAGAAAAACACCAGAAACCCTGTTTGCTGCTAGTGAAGACAAGCCCTTAGGCTTTCCACAATTTGGAAGACGTTTTTATAGACAAGGCTTTTTTAATTAAACATACACAATAAAACATACACTTTAATTCATAACAAAATGCAACACAATATACATAGAGGGGAATTCATCAAAAATCCAGCAGACAAAATCTGAAGTAGTTGCCAAGGGCAACCAATCAGCTTCTCTTTTCGGTTTGTTTACTTAAGATTTGAAAATGAAAGTGAGAAGCTGATTGGTTGCCATGCACAGCTGCTCCAGATTTTGTCATGCTTTGCTTAACAATCAGCCACCTGAGCAGGTGTGAACCATTTTAGTGCTAGAAAAAAACATCAAAACCTTTTAAATGTTAACTTAATTACCCTGTACTTTGGGAAGAAAGACATAAGAAATGAATAGAAAAAGGAAGTTGTGCTGGCCAGCAAATGAAATGGGAGGAAATAGGAAAAGAAAGAAAAAAGAAAGAAAAAGGAAAGTCTAAACAGTGATGAGTATTAAACTAAAAACATTATTAAATGTAACCCCTGCCACAGAGGCTGTACTATTTTATATGCTTAGTCTATAAAACAAATGCATTTGCTGACTAATCAAGATAGCTATTCTTTTGTTAAATAATTATACAAATTTGCAATACAAGACTTATTTCATAAAGTTGTAGCGCTCACCCCCGAAGTAGCTGCCAGAATAATCCGGGTCATCACTAGTTTGTCTAAGGATTTTAGTAACCAGTTGCCCCATTAGTATTAACCGCCCTCTTCTAGTGCCCACAGAGCTGACATTCAGGCCAAAAGCAAGATGCTGAAGAACTTTATTAACATTCTCACTCTGGGAGAGAGGGTATAGGGATCCTAGACATCCAGGACAGTACAGACACAAACTCCAGACTCACCAGTCCCTTTTTTTCTAAATCACTGTAGATCCATTGGTAGCACAGTTTAATAGATATTTGAGCATCAGATGAGCAGGTATGGACACAAATCTTCCGTAGGAGAGACACCAGACTTGCTCCTGAGGTCCACTATGTTCCAAGCACCTCCAGCAGCCAGCCAGTTCTCCTCCTCAACCAGAAGGAAAAGCCTCCTCCAGGCTTGAGGCCTAGAGAAACACTTCCCACACTCAAGTATCCCCACCCCTAGGCCCCAGGTCTAGCCTGGGGATAGGTTGGACCACACCCAAAACTGAACTTATCCACAGCTGGAGCCGGACTAGACAGAGCACATGGCAATTTCCTCCAGTATATATGCTCTGTCCCAGCATGCAACACTGGTTGAGAGAGCCCCAGTGATTGGCTGGTGAAAAGCACACATAGTTACAGTGTCCCTCATTGGCTGTCGCACACTGCAGCAGAGTCACACTCCAACCAGGTAGGTACAATCAATGCCAGAACACCTGGGATTAACCAGATAAATGCCAACTATAATTCAGCCTGATTGACTACAGCTCTAGCAATCACTACATTTTTAGTAGCCACCTCACAAAAGGTGACAGCGGCTTCAAAGTATTAACTCAAGGATTTATTTTAGCCACCCTTAAGCGTTTTTTAAAATCTTTTGTATATAACTGTCCATTGTTTAAAGATTCTTATCTGGGTGTTAGCCTTGTGAATTGGCCCTATCAGCTTTTACAAAAACATAACACTTTAGAATTACCTTAATATAATTTAATGAAAAAATATATAATTTCCTTTCTTTCCATTTAAATGACTACATATCAGTTATCAGTCACATGACTTTTTCCTTTAATTCCTTAACTGCATTTTCTTGCTACATATTATTTTTTTATGTTTTCTAACTCATTCTTATTCTCCTTCTACCTCTATTAGCCCCCTATTTCTGTCTGCAGTAATCCATGCCCAAAAGGATTTAGAAGAGCCAATCGTCAAGGACAAAAGATCTGTTGTTTTGATTGTGTTCCATGCTCTGAAGGAGAAATCCTCAATCCGAATGGTATTACAATAATCCAACTCTATGAAGTTTATGTGTTAAGTATGAAGTTTAAGGAGTAAAGCATCTTTACTTTTCAAAATGAACATTCACATTGCAAGGGAATGTTCACTTAGCTAAATTAATGTGGTTAAAAAACACTTTGAAAAAAATAGCCAATCACATGCAAGGAAAATTAAAAAAATAGGATTTTTGCTATTATTATTATTATTAGATGATTGAAGTCAACACAACTTTACCTCATTCACTAAGCTACGTTAAATTTCTCTTGCAAGTAAACAACCTATAGTAAATAAAGCTCCATGCAGATGAAGATGGTTACCATTTTTTTATAACTTATATAATATATGCATTTTTTTTAAAGTCAACTTACTCTGACTTAAATTGCACCTTCTGATCAGCACACTATGGTGAACAATCTAGGACAACATAGCTGATTTGGAAAGGGAACTGAACTAGAGAATTTTTCCAAATCAGCTATTTTGGCCTAGATTGTTCAATTCTCCTGCCTTCTCCAAACCCTTCACCCTTTTGTGAATAACCCTGTATATGTTAAAATACCAACAGTCTTCTTATGTTTATTCTACAGATACTACTGAATGTCTCAAGTGTCCAGAAGATCAATGGCCAAATACATTGAAAGAAAAATGTGTTCCAAAACCCATCCAATTTCTAGCTTATGATGAGATACTCGGCTCTTCCCTAGCCTCTATCTCAATTATATGTTGTCTTCTTACCTTTTCTGTACTTTGCCTATTTCTCGTTAAGCACAAAACACCCATTGTTAAAGCCAACAATCGGGAGCTCAGTTATCTTCTTCTTGTTTCCCTTATGTTTTGCTTTTTATGCTCTTTAGTATTCATTGGGCGCCCCAGCATGTTGACCTGCATGTTACGCCAAATAGTTTTTGGCATAATTTTCTCAATTTGTCTTTCTATAATACTAGCGAAGACTATCAATGTCATCATGTTGTTCAGAGCAACAAATCCAGCAAACACTAAAATGAGAAAGCTATTGAGACTGAGAATTCCAATATACATTATTCCTTGCTGTTCTTTGATCCAGATTGTAATTTGCCTAATATGGCTAAGTAGTTCTGCTCCCTTTGACGAATTTAACATGATTGCAGAGATTGGAACAATCATTATAGAATGCAATGAAGGATCTAAAATATTGTTTTCATGTGTTTTGGGATATATGGGACTCTTAGCTTTCATTAGCCTCATTGTTGCCTTCCTGGCCAGGAATCTCCCTGACACCTTTAATGAAACTAAGTTTATCACATTTAGTATGCTAGTGTTTGCTAGTGTTTGGATTACATTTATACCTGCTTATCTTAGCACCAAAGGAAAATACATGGTGGCAGTTGAAATTTTTGCCATCATATCTTCCTCTGCAGGAATTCTTGTTTGTATCTTCTTTCCTAAATGTTACATTATTTTATTGCAACCAGAAATGAATGATAAAAAATATATAACAGGGAGTAGACGTACATGATGCATTGTCTTGAGGTTACCAACCTCAAAAGTGAGAAAAGTAATTTAAAGTTGATCTGAACTCAAAAAGTGAGACTTTGTTCAGATATAGGAACATCTGGAAATGTTAATTGTGCCCAAACATTCCCCTAAAATACAACAATGCATTTCCTGTTGCTTGACACTTGTACACAGCTGCATTGTGAGATGAGATAATTTAAATTTGAACTGAAAGTTAATTACATTACTACTGTTCTGCTGACTGTTCTTGCTGAAGAGAAAACCATACCTAAGTACTTTCAATGCAAGGATTTCCTGGCTCTACTTTATCCATTCTGTGGATCTGTGTTTTCTGCACTGCTTCTACTGCTGCTTGGATATTCCCCAATAGTCTCATCCACAAAGAGTCACAGTACTTTTTGGGGACAGTTTCCGTATTTCAGGTTCTCTTTAAATGCAGTTCTGAGATACCACTAATATGGACTCCAGTGATCATTTTGGAGAAAGCAGTGTTTTGCTTAGATGCTGGTTTTCCGGAGGGGGCATATATGTCATAGGAAACTTCAGGATCAACCCAAAGGAACATAGGTAAAAGAAGGTGCCACCATTTGAATGACAATCTAAGCAATGGACATTTATATTACAGCTATCCTATAGACATGGCAATGTTTGTATTGTTGGTAATTAATATTTTCAAGTTTTGGACACAGTGACCTGATTGATAAAAACTAGAGCAATAACATTTTAGCTGTACTGTGCATTTATCTTTTAAAAGTCTCCTTTCTGTTCTCAGGTTTTACTCTTATCTGTACCCATTTCGGAGAGGTCTCCAGCTCTCCTTTTTCTCATCTTTGGGCCACATTCATGGCTATGGAAAGGTAGTCCAATGAAATGTTAGCTGTTCTTACTTTTAAATATGGGGCTTTTAAAGTGTCCAAACCATATAACATGTCCATCAGACACACGTAATCTTGTATAAAAAAATATATACATTTTATTTCATTAAAATCACCATGATTTTGGAACTTGGTTACATTCACAATGTCATCAGCATGATACAATGGCACATTAGAACCAAACTACCTCCTTATGGTACCCACATATGTGTATACATTATATGCATATATCATACTCCTTATTAGTCCTTAAACATATATTTGTTGTGTAATCCACTGTGGGCCCAATCTTCGATGCGTTTCGCAACTGTATGTGCTTCATCAGGAAGGTTGGAGGTAATCTAAAATATTATATCGAAGATTAATCTAAGTACAATAAACTCCATGACAGGCATCATAATGAAAATTACAGATAGTGACAACTCAAAACCTTCTTCATGCTCACAGAAGTGACTGGACCCTTACTCTCAGGGGCTATTTAAAAGACCTATGTTTCCTCTTTGTTCTTATATATTTCAAATTAGGGGTGTGGTGTCTATCCCTATTGGTTCAATTTTTAAGAATTTATTTACTTTTAATTATGGTTATCATTTAAATCCCCTCCCCCTCTCTCTTGCCAAGTCTCACATTTATCTATCCTCACTTCTGAGAGATAAGCGACTCCACTTTTTCTGTACATTTGCACCACATTCACTCTTATGGAAAGGTAGTCCACCAATAAGACAATAGTTTGATACATATTGTGGCATGCACAGAATAAGGAGCCTAGAAAAAGTGGCAGCTGTGCGGTATTTTAAGATATAACTGTACTAAAAGTCTAGTTATACTTAAAGCATCATGGATAGAAATTAGATAAAGTGCACACTGATCTAAATAGATTTTTGATCAACTAAAATCTATTAAATGAGGATCAACAATATAATGGTTTTGTATTTTGAAAATATATTTTTACCAATAAATGTCTGATGATCAAACTAATACAAGTGAATCAGGCTGTATTTCATCAACTCACAAATTACAAATTAAGGACAGAAAAGTTTGTTATATGAACAGGAATTGATATAATAATTCTATTAAAATATAGTATTGGTGGTATTCATAGGACACATTATATCCCAATTTCAGTGTAACAAACGTAAAGTTGCCTTGTCGCACTCCTTACCGGAAAGCCCCAAATCAGATGGGGGGGGGGGGGGG